CACACACACACACACACACACACACACACACACACACACACACACACACACACACAAAGAATCTAGAGATGCTCCCTGGAACATGCCTAATAGCAATTAAATTACAAAAATCTACCTATCAGACAGAATAAAGTATTTATTTAGCACCCCTGGCTCAGGTATTGCAAGAGATATGCTCATTGGTTTATACCTCTAACTGTTTATATCCTTAACCTTGGGAAAATGCCTGTGAGGACCTTTTCTAAAAAGAGAAGCTGCCACATGCCAATTCATGTTCTCTTGAGCCAGTACTGATTTGCCCTCTATAACTTGTTCATGGAAGACAGAGTCCTGAAAATCAGGCCTAGCCACACACAAAGCATGAATTCAGACACTATGACTTAGCTCCAGGAAAACATGGAAATACTCAGATATCATCAACCCAGAAAGAAGGGATGGCTGTGAAGTCAGGATGAATCACATTATGAGGAAGCCTAACCCTTAATTGCATCACAGGGCTTATTTATGGAAAGAACAAACATAAAGATTCAGAAAAACAGATGGATTCTTTCTAAGAGTTCCTGGGGAGGGAGGTTGGAGGGTGGCCTATAGCATACTACAACACATGTTGCAGCCATAGGAGAGACCACCAAAGGAGAAACATCCTTGAGACTTTAAAGTGCAGTGGAAAATAAAATGCCATTTGTGTAGAACCTCTGTCTGTGGAGCAAGGATCTGAAGGAAAGTCACATGACATGGTAGTGACATGCAAATACCTTCTAAAGAATGAACTCTTGAGAAGCTTAGGTGGAGTTAGTATCAGAAACCCGTTTGTTCCTTCAAACATGAAGTCTGTGTCCCATACCTTAAAATCAACCATGCAGGGGTGGAGGAGTAGCTCAACGGTAGGGCTCATGCTTACCCCAGGCGAGGCCCAGGGTATACTCCCCAGCATCACACAACAACAAAAACCAAAACACCCACGGAATCCTGCAAAGAGAAGACATGGTCCATCCATTTTCTTTAAGATTTTCAGTTCCTTCGGCAGCCCAAGGTCTTCCTCATTTGTGTGCCACCTGATCTGATGTCTTCTCCAACTCTCATGCAACTTTGGGCCTCTGAAATCAGATGATGAAGCCTCTAACTAAGCTCGTTCAAGCATGAAGTCACCACTATGAATTTGCCCTGTGTTTGTTGTAGGAGCTGGCTTTGTATACAGATTGAATAATGTTTCCAACCAGAAGCACATAATTAGTCCAAAGTAGGGGCTACAGGTGTTTTCACATTGAGAGACTTATCTGATCTGTTGTTCTCTAAATCTGGTGATGACAGTGGCTGGGAGGCTCTGAGCAGGAAATCAGTGTCTCTCTGAAACTCATTAGCATGATAAACCTTATCAGAGTTGAAGGAGAGGTGACCACGGTCACAGGTGTTCACTTTGGGACAACAGGCACATGCTAGGGCTGCTCTGCACTAGCCATCTGCCTGCTGCTGTGTCACGCCATGTCCTCTGGAAGAATAATGAGATTAGAGGTCTTTGGCTTGGTCAGGATGAAGGGCATCAGCATCCATCACCCTCTAAGCATATATGCATGGTGCTGACCAAACAGTGTCATCTTGTCCTATCTGTTGTTCCATGCCCCACAAAAGTTGCTCCACCTTCTTCTCTGAGTTTATGAAAAGCTCACCACCATGTCAGCCTGCTGTCTCCCAAAGGACAAGACACATGTCACATGCAACTTGGAAAAATGTATTACAGCAAAGACCTGATGCTGCAAGCCTCTCTGTATCTGTACCAACACAGGCAGCAACAAGAAGCCATCATAAAAATCCATGTAAAAATGGCCCTCTCTCGTGTAGGCAAGGTACTGGGCCCAGATGGCTGCATGCTGTACAAAGTGCTGAGTAAACATCAGTAAATGAATGATTGAGAAAAATCAATTGTGCACTTTGCTGTACAGAGACTGAATAGCTCAGTTCTCAGGCCAACCTGGAAAGAGGAGGGAAACTTGACTGGGTTGAAAGTACAAGAGGCAGTATGGCCAGGCAGTGGTGACTCATACTTGTAATCCTAGCTACTCCGGAGACCTGAAGGATCAAGTTTCAAAGCCAGCCAGGGCAGAAAAGTTTGCAAGACTTCCTATCCAATTAACCAGCAAAAAGTGAGGCTGGGGGGCAGCTCAGCCCGGTAGAATGTGAGCCAAGTAAGCAAGCCTGGCAAGTGTGTAGCCCTTAGTTCATTATCTCATATCACCACAACCCAAGAGGCACAACTAACCAACTAAAACAATGCTCCTGTGATCATCTCCACCATAAGATTGTTTTACCTATATGTGTGATTAGAGACCATTACTCAAATGGAAAATTAACAAGTGTTTTATCTTCCTATTTGTAGTGTGACCTTGATTCCTTTCCCTTCATGTTCTTACCTGTAGAGTTAGATAACAATAGCAAGCCACATTCAGAGGTGAAGTCAGATCATGCATACAGGACTTTCAGACATTGGGTAGGGTACAAAGTGAAGGCCTGAGGACTGTCAACTCTTACTATTGCACCATGCAATTACTTTCTCACAATAAATCCTGGCCGATGAACAAATTGACTCATTCCTCCCCTGGGATGCTGTCTAATTCCACCCTCTAAGGCCTTGCGTGTCTTGGATGACTTGGAATTCACAGAAATCTTCTCCAAAGGCCCTGTATGTTCCTGTGGCTCTGATTTGCTGCACTTGGGGGCTAATACTCCTCCCATATCACAGGCCTGCAGTCCCCTTCATATGTTGTCTGGCCTCCATGTCCCCACGCCCAACTATCAGCATATGCCAAGCCAGAAAGAATCATTTTGATTTTCTCTTTTGGTCTCTGTCAAAGAGTGGTACCCGTGGTATCCTCCTACCCTGGAAGGGCCCCTGTACTGCATCATCTCACCCTTCCCTTGCTCTGAGCAGCAGTCCACCAGGTTTCTCAGAAGCTCTGCTGTGATTTGAATGTGGGTTTTCCACTCTGAAGCTCATGTTGAAAGAAGACTGCCATTGGAAGGTACAGGGAAGTGTAGACCTTTCAGAGGTGAATGGATTCATCCATTCATGGATGAATATGTTGGCAGCTTACTTGGAGGGGCTTTGTCATACAAGAGAGATTTCTCTGGCTAGCTCTGATACTGTGTGCTGCCCTCTGCCATGAGTTGAAGCCACAAAAAGCCCTTCCTAGAACCCAAGATGTAGCGTCTTGATCTTGACTATCCTTCCCAGAGCCATTAGACAAAGAAATGTCTATTGTTTGTGAATTACCTAGTCTGTACTATTCTAATAGCGCTAAGAAAGTGGATGCGGGACAAGCTAGCACTCAGTCCTTTGCTAGCTGCCTCCATAACACCCCAGTCATCTGCCTCATTTGGGCCTGCAGAGCACCAGTAGCAGGGCTCCACTCTCTACACAGAGCCCTTCATGGTGGACTATCATGCCGAGTGAGAAAGCTCAGCTCCTCAGCCTTGAGTCCCAACCCTCAGCACATCCTGTGCTGTGTGGTTCCCCTCAGAGTAGGGCTGAAGCTGCCTTCTACAGAACCTCTGCATGAAATCACAGTGTTTATTTGTTTGTCAAAACAGTGTCTCATTAGGAGGCCCAGGTTGGCCTCAAAATGGTGATCCTCTTGTTACAGCCACCTGGGTTCTGGAATTACAGGTATGTATCACTAATACTTGGTCAATATTGCAGCATTGAGAGACCTTTTCCTTCCCTTTCCTTACTTCCATTTTCTTTGGTGGTCTCCCTGAGATTATTTACTTAATAAAATTCTTCACAGGGATCCATGTTTCAGGGTCTACTTTGGGAGTGCTGGAACTTAGGTATCCTTCACTCGCTGGTTTCTAATTTCAGTGGCCTCCTGAGCTGCTCTTCCTAAGGCAAGGGTCTCTCTATCTTAGACTTCTAACTACCTACTCCCTGCCATGATCAAAAACACCTGATGATTCCTCCATTAAGAATAAGTCAAGGTTTCAATTTTCTACCACAATGCTTGCTGAAGGGTTCAGGGAGACATCACAGTATCTGTAAGTTCCGCTTGATATATTACACTGTTGATTCTTGTTTTATTTTTTTATTATAAAAATGCTGTACAAAGGGGTTACAGTTACATGAGTAAGGTAATGAGTACATTTCCTAAAAAGCTTTGTTACCTCCTCCTTTGTTTATCCCCTACCACCCCTTCCCTTCCCATCTCCCCTACTACTCCCTCCCTTCCCAAGTTATGAAGTTCATTTTCAACATAGTGTCTTGTACATCTCATTGTTACAATGGGCAAACCTGTATCCTTATTTCACCTTATTTTGTAACTTCCCTTCCCCTCCCCAAATTAGAAAAATGTATATACAAGATGCAGGGCACCAACATCAAATACAGTGAAAATAGGGGTTATACCGTGGGGGAGGGACATACAAAGCAACAAAAAATATCACATAGTACATTGTAAATACATTTAAAACAATAGCAAGGTCCCATGGTTTACCTTATTTGCAATAACTAGTATATGTCTGAGTCAAGCAGAAAAGGTCAGATAAGTTGATGTTAGGGAAATAAACCCTAAGATACATATTCAAATGTTTTTTTTCTTTCATGCGATTGTTTCTAACACATTTATAGGATTATTTCTTTGTTGCTTTGTATGTCCCTCCCCCACGGTATAACCCCTGCTTTCACTGTATTTGATGTTGGTATAATTTGTGGAAGGGAAGGGAAAAGACAAATCGTTTAAATAGGGATACAGGTGGACCCATTGCAACAATGAGATGTACAAGTGGTTATGTCAAAAAACAAACTTTACAACTTTGGTGAGGGGGGTTGGGGGGATTGGGGTATGGGAAGGGAAACAAAGGAGGAGGCAACAATGCTTGATAAGAAATGTACTCATTATCTTGCCCATGTAATTGTAACCTCTCTGTACAGTATTTTCACAATAAAAAACAATAGCAAGCAAGAAAAAAAACCAGTTGTATCCCTATCTTGGGGTTAATTTCACTTAACATCATCGTATATGGTCATATGTACATAGCTTTTGAACTTTTCTGCTTGTCCTAGACATATACTAGTTATTGCAAATAAGCAAAAACATTGGACCTGTTACTTTGAGCCTGGCTTACTTCACTTAATATAATATTTCCAGGTCTTTCCATTTCCTAACAAATGGGGCAATGTCATTCTTTCTAATGGAGGCATAGAATT